ATCATTGAGTATGGAGAGGTGAGTAAGCAGACACGATGTATATCCTCATGAAGCTGACAGTTCATGAACCACGCAGTTGGATAAAGTCTTTTAAAGTATCACATATTGCTTTGAGAAAAAATAGGAAAGGAAACGTGCTTTGGGCAGAGACCATTTATTTTTAATGAAGTAATGTATAAACTAAGGTTAGTCACAAGGTGTGGCTGGCGTAGGAGGGGAAAGAGATGTGAAGTGTGTGATATTTTCAACAACAACAACAACAACAACAACAACAAAAAAAAACAGCATGGATCTAGCCATTAAGTAGGAAGAAGTTTGGTTCATTTGATGAAATGAATGAAAGCCAGTGTAGCTAGAAGTAAGCATAGACAGGGGAAAATGACAAAAAAAAGGGCAGAAGAGGTGTTACAGAAGTGAAACCATGTAGGTAGGCCATGATGAATGGTAAAAGGAGAAAACGTTCTCTACACAAAACATCCATCCCTGTAAATGGCTGGCTGCTCTAGTAACACTCTTAAGACTCCAAGTATCTTTCCCTCTATCACCCAGAAGGAAGAGGGATTGTCTGGTTGGTGAGTTTAAAAGACAAAACTCAGCACAAGTAGCTCTACTCCTTCCTCTCTCCCCGTTTCTTTGGGAAAGATATATTTTGAGAAGCACTCATTCTGCAGTGTTTCTCCAGGACATAGGACATAGAGTGAAAGAGTATCATGGCAGGGGGAAAAAGATTTCCCCTAGTACACCCCAGGTCTCCAGATGTAAGTTAAGCTCTCAGTATGAAAGATCAGGATTAGAAGGCCCACTTTTCCATAAATAGAAGGCAAACTCCTCAAAATATATTTATCAACACTAATAAAAGCATATTTTAATTAATGCATTTATTAATAGATGTGATATTAGTAAGTATGACTATAACATGTAACATATTGTCTCTTGCTGCAGAAACTAATTCGATGCTTACCAATTCCATTTTCTTTTTCTTTTGGGGTGTGTGCTTAAATACATTGCTCAACATTCTTTGCAATTAGGTATTGCTATGTAAATGAGTACTCATCTGTGAATAATAAGTGGAAATAATGTACACTACTTCCAAGCCTGGTCTCTATAATATAAATCATCCTTGCATAATACTCCTTTCTCTCTTTTTTCTAATCGTTGATCAGATGACCTCGTGTTGAGCTGCATGAACCTCTGAGAATCTGAAGGACAGCAGAGTCACTGGATAGATGGAGAAGACTGCCCTCCTAACACAGGTAGGGCTATGCGTGAGTCAACAGTCATCACCTATTGGGTATTATGTACTGGAACTTGGGATATTGCTTGTTAGAGCAGTTAGGGTAGGAAAGAGTGGTGTCAATGGGCATCCACTGGACCATCAGCCTCTGATGGTTTAGGAGGGTGAATGTGGACTTTCTTGGACTGCTGAATTACTTGGAAGGCAGCTATCCACTAGTAACAGAGAATTCACTGAAATGTTTCAAACCACGGGCTAATACAATCCGATGTAATGTCTTAGAAATATCATGCTGCTTGGTGGGTGTAAAATGAATTTAAATAGGTCAACAGTGGTGGTAAAGAAACCTGGGAGGAAAAGGCAAGGAGATGATGATGGCTGTGTCTGGGGAAGTAGCAAGGATGGAAAGGAATCATGTGAGATACAGTTTGGAGGCAGAATTGATAAGATACATTAATGTTCATAGTCAATTCTATGGAATAATTTCTTTAAGCCACAGGAATAGCAATAAGAGGCAATGTTTCAAAATTAGCATTGAGCTCAGAACTGCACTAATATTCTACCATATGCCTATTTCTAATAACTATCTTTGTGGACCTGCCTTGATGTGTGCAGAATAGCTCCCATATGCCACATGTTTTAAAAAGATAAGGTGTGAGTAAAGAATTTTTGCTACATACAACTAGTAATTCTAATATTCTATTTTCCCTCAAATCAGAAAGGTATTTTGAGGTGTTTAAAACAAGGCTTCAATGTAAGCCATAAAGGGGCCCAACAATGCCTGTGTCTCTGTAAGTGTTTATAAATATTTATGAAAGAATATTAAAAATTATAAGCTACTAGGCACATTGTTATGATCACAATATGGTGACTTATTAAGAAAATCTATTAGAACATTCCAAGTAAATGCTCACAATATTCAAAGAAAATAAAAAATTACTTTTTAAAATTTTTTATCTTGAGACTAATTTTTAAATGTTAGCAAGTATTCTCACACATGGCAAAGGGTCTCTTACATTATGGAAAGAGTCAGTCATTGATTGTTAAAATGAGGTACCAGAATTATGTGTAATCAATGTTACTTACAAGAATATTTGATCCTCCAGACCATGAAATTTCATATAAATGACCCTTTCCACACACTCAGAATTCATAATCTATTTCTGAATTAATACATGTGGACTTACAAATGAAAAGCTGAGTAAGTATTAAATTCAGCATGGAAACAGCATTTTGGATATAATTACCTCCACTGTGCATTGTCTTGGTTGTATTTTAAACACTTAAGTTTTACAATTAAATTTTTATGCTTTCCCTTCTCTACATGTCAGTAATTTAAGAATGATTTCCCTCCAAAAGCACACTAGACTTTCAAATGCATTTTTACAGTGCTAGGTCTATTAAGAACATCTGTTTCCAACTTTAACAATTGCTAATCTTTCCATCAGCAGTTCTTAGACAGGCATGTATTTGCTTTTAACATTTCAGGCATCTACAACAGAAATTACACTTGTATTCAAACATTCTAAGAGATGATGAGCTACAATAAATGCAAAGGTCATTATCAGAATTTTTGAGGAAAAAGGGAGTAAGAAAGAACAATTTACATGAAATTTCAAGGAATGCATCATTACATACCTGTCAATCAACTGTATGGAGACTATGAATATTTTACACTTATACTTGTGCTACAATACTTTTTCTAAATGTAGCCTAAAATTCTTACCTATTATAACCCATTATAAGATATGATTAAACAAAGAATATATAAATAATTAAATTCATTCTAAGTAGTCTTATTTGTTTAGTTGCTAAACGTTCTTACACGTCATCTTATTTTATAAAATAATTTAAAATTATGTACATATCACATTTCTTAAAAAAAATCCTAAGAACATAAGAAATGTTTTGTTGGAAATGAAAAGGCATATTAAAAAAATTGTTCATATAATTAAAATAATGTTTGATGTTTATATTTACAAATTTTCAATGTCTACAAAAAATTTTTACATTCATTGCAGTCATTATTCAACTTTGTGTTTCATTTAACTGAAATATGCACTGAAAAGTATATATAGACAAATTTTTTAAAATTTTGAGGTTTATTCTGTTCTGAAACCCTGTCAGGTTTTTAATCTACCAAGCATCATCTATGTATTAATAAGCATAACCGAATGGTCATCAAATAAAGATCCACCTTACACTGTACAATGTCATAGTTTAATTTTTTCTCTCACTTATTTTGCTACCAAAAATCATATTTAAACAGAAAACATCACACATTTTCAAATACACATATTGCTTTGTAAACCAACTCAAAAACCTGACTTTTTCAGTATGTTTGCTACATAAATGTTACTTAAATAAAGGTTTACAAAACTAAGAGTAAGATTATCAAGTCTGTACTGCACACTAGTGGCAAGAGATAGTAAATGCATTTTTTTTTACTTAAATTTTACACTATTTGCATCTTAAATATTAGCTTTTTCAGTCAATTTTAGAACTCATTATATTACAGACCACATATACATACATTCTAAACATAATATGTTTTTGTGTCATGAACTATTTTTCTAGTACACATCAATGTATTGTGAATGTCACACCCAGAGACAGGTTCCTGTGCATATAAATACTATGAATCTGTCTATCTATGTATATGTATGTGTATATATGTATATACATGTATATATAAAATTAATATTACACACACGCCTATTAAATGTTAACTCTTGTGAAAATAGTCATTATTTTGGCCATTTTTTTCTATACTCATTATTCTTCCCTACATACTTATGTAATACAATGCTTTAATACACATAACATGTACAATTAATACAACTTAAATCATAAGTGCTAATAAATCATTGAAATGGGAAGGGTTCATGATGGCATTTTATTGATGAAAATGCAAAAGAAAAGTATTCTGGCAAGTGGCGGATCCCAAATAACTAAAATGTCGATATGAAAAGAACCTTAATACACCTGAGATAAATTGATATTTTCAGACTGCTTCATGAAAGAGTAAGAGAAAAGTATTTATGATAGATGGTGTGCTATCAGAGGTAATCTTTAACCATCCCCTCTCAGATGCCTAGAATAAATAATTAACTGTGTCATGTAGCTGATCATTAACCATTTAACTATCAATATGTATATCAAAATATCATTTTTATATCTTAAATATATGCAGTAAGATTTTTTATAAGAAATAATGACCAACGGCCGGGCGCGGTGGCTCAAGCCTGTAATCCCAGCACTTTGGGAGGCCGAGGCGGGTGGATCACGAGGTCAAGAGATCGAGACCATCCTGGTCAACATGGTGAAACCCCGTCTCTACTAAAAATACAAAAAAAAAAAATTAGCTGGGCATGGTGGCACGTGCCTGTAATCCCAGCTACTCAGGAGGCTGAGGCAGGAGAATTGCCTGAACCTAGGAGGCGGAGGTTGCGGTGAGCCGAGATCGCGCCATTGCGCCCCAGCCTGGGTAACAAGAGCGAAACTCTGCCTAAAAAAAAAAAAAAAAAAAAAATGACCAACATAAAACTGCCACAGATGTGTTAATAAAACAAGATGTCATACAATGTGAATCTGACTAAGTCCGCTATTGATAAGTGATTTCAAATATTCTCCTTGTAGCGGAAATTCCAGTTTTTAACTTCCCTTCCTGTCTGTTGTGCCTTTTGTTTTCTGTCCACTTGCTTATATATTCAAAGAAATAAAAAGCTAGCCTTCATTTCTTCCTTTAAGTCATATACCCCCATACCTTTTTCACGTTTTTGGGCTTTGATTCTTTCAGTTCTTCGTACTTCCATTTCCACAGAGACAAAGCCGACTCTAGTCTCTCTATTTCTTTTTCCAAAGCTGTGCGCATTCTAAATAATTTAAGAATTAAAAGAAAAAAAAGTTGGCTTCAATTTTAAAATAATTACAAGGAAGCATCCAATTTCATATCCATTTTCCTAATTTTTGATATTTGTATGTGATCTTAATGAGAAAAAACACTTTGCAACTTATTAAAAATTATAGATATAGAATACAACTGTTTTAGTTTATTATTCTGACAATTAACTTTACAGTAGATTAAATATATTTAATTTGGCTTTGCCAGTGTTAACATTTTGCTTGCTTTCTTCTACATGTTTCATGCATGCCTCTCAATTCCTCTCGCTCATAATATTTTCTTACATAGGAAGATACATATGTTCCTAATTTTAACATGTTTTTTTATCCATCTTCATACTGTGGCTGCATGGGAATAAAAAAAATCATTTGAAAAAACACAGCATGCAAATAAGCCTACCTAACAATCATTAAAAAAAGTCATTTACTGGGTATATAAAAATAATTTTTAAATATTTTAAATTTTGTTGTAACAGAAATTTCACTAGGATCCTTATTTAAATTATTCTAAATAACTGAAATTAATTTCTCTATATGTAGAACTAGCAACAGAACGAGGCCTTTCTATACCCCAACCATTGGATTTTTGTTTGTTTGTTTGTTTGCCCACACTGTCTGTTAGAGTCATTGATAATTGTTTTATTTCTGGTTGTAATTAACACATATCGACCTTTGAAGCTGGCTTTTCCTTATCTGTAAGGTAGATTTGATTACTATTCAAAAATACTCATTGATTTTTCTCTACTTCCACTGACAGAGTTGTTTTCCTCATTCCTCAATTCTAGGATTTGACAACGAAATATTAGCAGAGATGACAGAAATAAAAGTTTGAAAACTACTTGTGTGTTTGAGCTCTATGTAAATACATTTTGATTGTTACATGACACTGAGATTCTGTGATTGTTAGTTACAGACTTACTGCATTCATAATTAACTAATATACACACTTGGATCTATTTCAATGATATTAAATGTCACTAGAAAGATTTTAGAAACATACAGAGCTAGAAAATGCATGCAAAATCAAAATTGAATGTCATTTAAATATTTATAAGAAATATGATTCTTCCTGGTAACAATACTATGATAATAATTCAAAGTAGTGTTAGATGGTAAATACATTAGTTTAATCCAATCAAATGGATAAGTAGCCTATTAAAAAGCTATATAGTTATATTTGTATAAATCAAGCCATGAAATTGAAAGAGGATATAAAAGAATTAGTTGGAGCTTAGCTTAACCTCAAAAGACACAGGTTGCAAAAAAAAGGTGCAAAGCATCATTTATAAACTCTGATCCAGAATCCCTTATTAACATAGCAAATATATTAAACAAAATTAACAAACAAAAAGATTCAACTTGAAAGTTTAGGTCTTATGAACAGTGAATATGAATGTTCATAGTCCAGATTAACCACAGCAGTCACAATTTCAGATAGACAAGTAAACCTAGCCAGCTGAGGACATCCAAGTTGCTTATTGTGATATAATTTTTGTTTTAGTAGTTGTGTTTGGGATGTCAAGAGGAAAAGAATTAAATACAGAAATAATAAATCAGTAAGAGTATTCCGTGTTAGATTTAGAAAGTATATGTACAAATCCTTATAGGATGAAATATGTTGCATATCTAACATTTGAGTGCATTTTAAGTTTTGGGTGATAAATTAGAACATTTAAAAGATATTGAGTATTGACTGAGACCTGTGAAGTTATAATAAAAAGTTTGTAACTTCATTGGAACGTTTAAGATAAGAATCATCACATTTATAATTTTAATTTTTTAGATATTCTTGAGTAGAACGTGGAAATATTCTATCAGTAATTGAAAAACTTAAAAAGCAAATGGCATATGTTAAATTAATAAAATAATTTTACAAAAGATTTTAATTAACTGCATTTGTGTAATAAACCATATATTTATGTTTCTCATTAAAATTAATTGTGAAAATTATTTCATTTATAAAAGAATAATAGAAACATAATACTTGAAAAAATCTAGAAGTAACACAATCATACATGTTGAAAAATCAAACGTCTGCTTTTGATATTACATTTTAATGAACTAAATGGTAATTTAGAAACTCAAATTCAAATTCAAAAATTGTCAAAGTCATATTTACCTCCTTAAGCATACATCATAAAGAAAATACCTGAAATTTATTTGTTTCCTAAAACAAAATCACATATTCTTATTATGTAAAAGGTTAGGGGAGTGAAAAAACAAGTAATTCATAAAAAATTATTTAATGATAATGGGATACTTAAAATATTTTTAGCATTTTGACAGCCTCATCAAATACTTTTGTGTCTCTGTGCCAGCATTAAGGACATTGTATGTCTAAATTTATGCAGCAGGGGGCACCCTTTAAATCCTTAATTTTCTAGCCTAATCAATTTATTCTGTGTTTCAGAGATTTTCAAAATTGATGAATAATATAGTTAAATTTATAACTGAGAGGTATCCTATTGTCAGGTTATGTGAGCTATAAGAAGGCAAAGGAAAACACCCAATATTTACACTGAAGTGTTACGTATTTTATGTACACATTCTTTTTGAGAACAAAATTAAAGACAAAGTTCAGCAAAAATATAGTATCTTTAATATGATGATATAAACTTTTAAAAGCATATTGCTAAAATATTTAAAATTTGTAGAATCTAAAAGATAAAATGTGAATCAAAATTATTTTTATGGGAAGATGTAATTATATTTCTAAGCATGTTTGATGCTTTGTTTACTGTCGCAATTCCACAATAATTGGAAATGAAATTTAAATTTCTAGACAAGAATATTATTCAAATATTTCTCAGGAATGAAAGGTCCTAAAAATTAATATCTAGAAATAAATGTTAATCATTGTTGAACTGTAGGAAATTTCACTGGAAAAAAAAATGAACACTTTTCTGAAAGAGTGTATAAGAATAAAAATGTTCTTACCAAATTAAATGATTATTTGTAATGATATGCAGATATTCATTTTTATAACAGTTCAAAATTGAGAGATAATATTAAACTGTTAAGCTTATACAAATATACTTTAAATAAGCAGCATATATGTCATTTTACAACTGCACTTCTTACTATTCATAATTACATCTTTCAGCACTGGATGTTGGCAATCAGCTGTTACAAACAGCCAAGCCATATACAGTTAATTTAATTAGAAAAGATAAGTATTTAAAGAATATTATTAAGCTCAGATCTCCAGGAAAATCATAGAACAATGCTTGCAGATGAAGCAGATGGGGACCAAGACCCACTCTCATGCCATAAAACTAGTCCCATAAAGACCCCACTGCCTGTAACGTCCTCTCTCTGTTGCCTGTACAGCCTCTTAGTATTATATATCTGCCAAGCAAACATATTCAAATCAGCCAATTTGAGTGGAAAAAGATACTATAGCTCAAAAAATTTCTGGGAAATCTCTGGGGAACACATGCATCAGGAAACACTGATGAGAAAGTCATAGAGATCTTCCTGTAAGCACACTATTTCAGCCACCATTAAGGTAGAGACATTACAGCAAGACCTCAAGATCACCAACACAGGACAGTGAGTGATGTCACCAGGCACCAGAGGCCACCATTGCCTCTGGAAACAAGTTGTCCTTACTGCTGCTGCTTCCCCCTCATGCATGAATTCTGGATGCTGTCTACTGCCTTGGGGTATTGGCTTTGCTTAAAAGTCTAGGTGGCCACCTCTGAAGCACTATTCCTACGTTAATTGTCTGTACCTTCATTGCAGAGGAAACCATGGTAGAGACTTACTGGCATTTTCATTACCTATGCACAGATACTGACTGTTTCATTTGGTGGGAAATTGCCAAAACACAAAATAGATGCTGAGAGTTAAAAAATGGTAAAGGTGCTGGGCGCGGTGGCTCACACCTGTAATCCCAGCACTTTGGGAGGCCGAGGCGGGTGGATCACGAGGTCAAGAGATCGAGACCATCCTGGTCAACGTGGTGAAATCCCGTCTCTACTAAAAATAGAAAAAAATTAGCTGGGCATGGTGGCGTGTGCCTGTAATCCCAGCTACTCAGGAGGCTGAAGCAGGAGAATTGCCTGAACCCAGGAAGCGGAGGTTGCGGTGAGCTGAGATCACGCCATTGCACTCCAGCCTGGGTAACAAGAGAGAAACTCCGTCTCAAAAAAAAAAAAAAATGGTAAAGGTTTATTGAATATTCCATAAGTGACAGTTAATAAAGAAACAAAGTAAGCTTGACTTTCTAATATTTATAAATATTACATTAAACAGTATTAACTAGATTTACATGCCAATTTATTAATTAATTGAGATATATGTTCATTATATATAAATATATAATTATGTATAACATATGTATTAATGAATGTATTCACTAATTGAAATATATATCTATATATATAAAGTAGAAATCTGTTTCTCTCATGCATATATAAAAAATAACCTTTGAAACATTTTTAATTTGCTGAAACTTCTAACCTGGATTTTAAGTATCATATTATTAAGAAAAAATTGAACATTTAGTGAAGCAAAGCAAAACAATTGAAGCGTACTACTTTTCTTGCATAAAAAAATTAATTAAGAAGATAAAATGGGCTGGGCGCAGTGGCTAATCCCTGTAACCCCAGAACTTTGGGAGACCAAGGCGGGTAGATCACTTGAGGCCAAGGGTTTGAGACCAGCCTGGGCAATATGGCAAAACCCCATCTCTACTGAAAATTTAAAAAATAAATAAAATTAGCCAGGCATGGTGGCACAGCCTGTAATTCCAGCTAATCGGGAGGCTCAGGTGAGAGGATGGCTTGAGCCCAGGAGGCTGGGGTTGCAATGAGTAGAGATTGCACCATTGCACTCCAGCCTGAAGCTCAGCTTAAAAGACACAGAACAAACATTTTATAAGTGATAAAGGAGGTATCTGCAGTGGAATTTGAAAACTGATTTTGAATGTTAAGACAGTTCAAAATATTTTATCTAAGTCTCTGTTACT